TTTATCAGATGATTTCTAATATTTTCAAAATAAGTCCTACCAATTCCCAACATATTGAGATAAGTTTCTTGACAAAGTAGTGCATTATGATCCCAGTGATAGAAAGTCCTTTTATTAGATCTAGTTTTCTTTTTAAGACGTCTGCTAGTGCTTATTGATCCACCATCCATTACCTTAAGTTGGGCCATTAAAAATATGTCTTGTTCTACTTTAGAAAGAGCTTGAAAAGATTCTCTTAATTCTGCAAAATTTTCCTTGGGAATTCTTGAAGAACAACCACAACCACAGCCTTTTTCTAAAAAATCAATAGCTTTTTGATATTCATTAGAACCATTATTTTTATCACTTTTCATGTATATACACTTATCCCTATATATAATTTTATGTTCACTTTGTGGGTTTTTTAACAATGAATTTGTTAAGGCAATATCACCTTTTTCAAAAAAAAATGATCACTATTGTTAATCATTTCTAACCAAACTTTTTGTACACAGGAATACAGAATTGATATCTAAAAATGGCTTAAAATTCACTTCAATTTATTATGGATCTTAATATTATTTATTTAATAATTGATTTATTACTTTGAAATTAACCTGGGAATCAATGATGTGGAATCTTCCTCCAATCCATACTTATGAAAAATAAATAAATGATCAGCAATTAATTGTTTTTTGATTTTTAATTGCTTTCTTGTATTCAGTGAAATCATTATATTTATTTTCTTTCATATATTACATATATAATTTTATATCACTTTGTAGTTTTTTAAAATTTTTAAGAGTAAAAGTAAAATCAGAAATTTTATAAAATACAAATAGTATGCAAAATTAATATCTTTTACTCATTATTTTTACTTTTGTAATTATATCCTTCATAATTATATCCAAGAGGATGCATAATTTTTATTTCATCCTCCTTCCAATTATCTCCTTCATCTACATTATTAACTATCCATTCAGCATTAAATGGTGAAATATGAGAAGCTAAAATATCTTGAAGAATCTTGGATACATTATCATCATTTATTTTAAAATGATTAAACCCAGAAGTAGCCCAATATAAAGTTAGTTTTCTGTAATCATCACTTTCAGATTGACGAGTTCCTGAAACATGTCCAGGAATTTGTGCATAATGTCCATGATAACCAAGTTGCCAATATAAACAAACACATGGTTTATTATGTTGTTCTAGATCAGAACCTTCAAATACATAATCACAATCAAACATAGATCTAGCTGAGTAAGGATATTTATCATCAAACCTACGACCTTTAATATTTTTGATTTGAATAAGAATAACACTATATTCATCAGCCATTAGTTTGATAGGAATACAAATATCTACACCAGGATGATTTCGTTTCATAACAAAAGCACATCTTCTCATATAAAACTGTTTTAAATTTTTCTTTTCTGGTGTATAATTAATTGTTAAAATGAGTAAATGCAACTGTTCCATTAAGCAGTTCCTGTGAAATTCCATCAAAACTTGGTAAAGATTCATCATCATAAAGCTTCTGAAGAAATTCTCTAACATTGTTTTCTGCTCTATTATGTTGTGATCTCAATCTATTAATCACAAGAACAAGAATAATTTGTGCAACAATCTCTCCTCGGGGACCAGGTTCCATGATACCTTTCTTAAGTAAAGTGTTAAACTGATTTAATATTTGTGGTAATGCTGAAGTAGACATTAATTCAAAAGCAGCCTCTGATAATAAGGGCTCAGAAGGATAAACAATGATTAACCGTTCTCTATCTTCTGATACAGCAAGACAGGTAGCCATATGTGAAGCAACAAGTTCTGAGGCCAATTGAGACTGTGGTGAGATATCAAGTCCTACCAAAGATGATAAAATTGCTAAGCTAGTAATGTCCTTCTGACTATTTTCAAAATTATTTACACCTCCAAGCAGCTTTCGCTTGAGAAGATTCATAAGGTTATTAATGGCTTGAGGGTCATTTGGACAACTTTGCAAGTATGACATATATAAAGGGCGACCATATTTAGCCAAATTTATATGCTCATCTGCAGAATTATTGTTATAAAAAGCATCCATTGTGGTTAGCCGAAAATATGGATAGAATAATTCAAGAGGTAAGTCCTCAATATCCCAATGTGATGGATCTAATGATTTGGGAGGCACAAAATTTGATATCTTGCTTAATGTATCCAAAAGTAAGGTAAAAAACCCATTCCATTTTACTTTTCTCAATGCCCTGCGAAACAATCTAAAAGGTGAAATGTTGTGCCCCTTAGATGGTGAAATAAGGGCCCTGGCCTCATCAATGCATTAAAATTTTATTTAAAAATATTGTTAAATATAAATGATAAGAATAATATTTGATAAAAAATTTGTACATCACTAAAAACTTGACTAGAATCAAAGTTCATATTATTAAAATTTTCTTGGTAAAGGTCTTGATTATCAAAAGTTTGTTGATCCATTTTCTTTATTAATTTTTAATATGTGGGATAAAATTTGTTATCAAAGAATTATTAATTTCAATAGATTAAGATTTATTATATCAATGAATTATTAATTTGAAA